GATGATGATGCTGATGGGTAGGAGGAGGAGGATGGTGAGGAGGAGGAAGAGGAAAGGGAAACAACTGGACGTGGAGGAGTGCCGGCCGGTATCCGCAGGGTACCTTATAGAACGGACCGCTTGAGGGACACCGAACATGTCACTCTTCTTCTACAGCCGCTTACGGCGAGAGTCTAGCATCAACACAAAGAAGTACTCACCTTTCTCTGCTTACCAGTCTTGCTCACATTTACTTGGCCAGCCTCTTCTCAGAGGCCAGCCGAGGATATATTTCATGCACAGCGATCCCTGCCCTGGGCCCTCCCAGTCGCTGGTGCGCAACGCACATCCTTTTAGCCGTTTCGGTTTGACAGCCTGATGGCATCTCCCCGTCCTCCCCACCCTGATGCTAAACACTTTTTGGGCAATCCTCCATACCGTACGCCCAACGGGCACTTGGGTCCCAAACAAAGAATGTACCTTTTTGTTTATTCTCACAGCACGGCAGCACCGTATACATTATGGAGTAGGGGAGGTGCGGTGGGTCGGGTAAAGGAGGCTGAGGGACTAGACATCTTCTGACCCCGCTTGCCACTTGTTTCTACAACATAATACAACAAGGGCAGCATCCCAATAATTGCTTTTGCTTTACAAGCCTATACCTTGAGGCCTATTCCGTGCAGTTGCTCTCACCTCAGCCTACAGGCAAACCTATCAGGCCAGCCTTGAACTATGGAGGGTCGAAAAAAGTTTGGGGTCAACCAGAAAGCCAAAACCACAGTTCGTGCTTTCCTGTCTCTGCCATTACACAGTGCGCCCCACTGCTTCCCTCTACTCACCTCGCTATTTCATTCCTGCCCCCGCACTCCTGGCATACATACGGTGTCGGTGGCCCTCCACCCAAGAACTGAAGAACGGGCCGAACGCTGGCTAAAAGAGCAGGCCTACGGCTGGCAAAGAGGGAGCGGTGTGCAATATAATGCTACAGTGACTCATCAAGTAATACTTTTCATGAGTTTACATCGAGAACAGCATTCCAATAACTGCTATTTGTCTTACAAGCCTGTGTCATCAGGCTGCTTTGCGCCGCTCTCATTCAGCTACGGGCAAGCCTGAAAGGCCTGCCTTGAAAAAGGAGGGGCGGACGCTGACGGGGCTCATGATGGGGGTGGTGGAGCACACTCGTATACGTTTTGGGTCAACCCAAACCCTGGGCAGCAACCACATAACTGCACAGTCACGGCGTCGCACTCTACACTTTCTCTTTCATTTGCCGTTCTTGTCCAACAGCATGTACCTCAAAGTTGTGATTCATACTTATCTGTTATGCGTCTCGTACTGTTGTTTATCATTCCAAAATACTTGTTGGGACGTTGTTCGCCTGTGTACGCCATTTCGTGCATGCCAGCCACTGCTCTACCTAACGAGGTGGCACCACCAACTGATCTTACGGGCCTATACACATCTTCATTTTTGAGCATTTTTTATTTAAAGGCTGCCGCCTCTGCCGCCGACCCCAGAAAAGGGGATCTCGTTGGCTCCTCTTGGGGCACACGTGCGCCGTCTTGTGGTATGTTTGGGAGCCTGTTGGGCCGTCTCCGGCCGATCTTGTCAGTGTCCCACATGTTGGGTGGGATAGAAAACAGGGATTGCGCAATTGAGGGCCGAAATCACATCGGCCGGCTGGTTAGGCACAGGTGATGCGGCCCCGAATGCGGTTTTCGATGGTAATTCTCCAGTGCGCCCCAAAGACAGCGCGGGCGTTTCAGTACGAATCGAGGATGCCCCAGGAGGCCTCAGGAAAATTCATATGGCCTAAGGAAGCTTCAGGAAGCCCGAAGAGGTTGCCGGAAACGCCCGGGGGCCCCAAGAGGCTCCAGGAGGCCCGAGGAGGCCCCATGACCTACGAGGCCTTGGGGTGGCCCTGGGAGGCCCCAGGATGTTCCAGGAGGCCCTGGGAGGCGCCATGCATATTTTTTTATGGCGGTCTACTAGCTAAGGTGTTTGCCGACCTCGAAGACCTGGCGGGCACCTACTCTTTTTTCTTTTCTATTCCATTACTTTTCTTAGCTCAAATTCCGTGGCGCTCGCCAGGGTTGTTTTTTTCCCGCCGAGTCGTCTCTTTACAGTCGCAACAACGCCACATGTGCACACATAGGGTCTGGCCAACGCAAAAAGGAGATGGAGGAGGAAGAGGAGGAGGAGGGTCGGAGGAAAAGGAAGAAAAGGAGGGGGAGGAGGAGGAGGAGGAGGAGGAGGAGGAGGAGGAGGAGGAGGAGGAGGAGGATGACGAACAATGACGAGAACGGAGGAGGAGGAGGACGGCCAAATACGCTATAGGCTTTCAGGGTGCCTAAGCCCATCTTTAGGGATGAGGCGACCTTCAGAGTTCAGTGATCCACGACCGCTTGGAAGTTTCATGCTCAAAATCCCGATTGCGTGTGTGGCGGGATAGGCACGCGCATGGGAAAAAGGCCGGGGTCGTATGCGAACGCGCCCCTTGCAGTGCGGAGCGTGCGTGTCCCACGCTCTGGTTAGTGAGCCCTCTGGTGCGGTCAGCACGCCGAAGTCTCAACCCCAAGATCGGGCAAGGCACCCGCGAGCTTGAGGAGACGGTTTTGGGGGGCAGTAGGTCGGCCCAGGGGTTAGGGGGCCACATGCGGACCCTACCCCAACCCCCCACGGTTTCTGCGGGGGAGGTGGGGTTCACTTCGCTCGGGAGCTCCCGAACGAAGTGAACCCCGCCCTCCCCCCTCAGAAATCGTGGTGGGTAGGGGTAGGGTTCGCATGTGGCCCCCTAGGGGTGAGCCCGTCCAGACCGTTACGCCCGACCGCCTGCCCAAGAGCTCGGAGAAGCACCCGAAGGCGCAAGCCGGGTGTAGGACCTCGTGCAAAACACCCGCGAGCTCGAGGCTACAGTTTTGGTCGGGGGTGGACAGACCTCCTGCCCTGACACGTTGATCGAGGAATTGGCCGTTCTCGGTGCGCGAGAGGGCGTTTTCGGCCGTCATCTTTGTGGGTCCAGGTCCGTCGATTTCGGTCCGAGGCCGTTTTTTCACTGAGGGGAGGTCTACTAAAGGGAGGTTTGTCCACCGTCGATTTGGGGGGGCAGTAGGTCGGTCCAGGAGTTCCGCTGGACCGTCTGCCCAGGAGCTCGGGGAAGCACCCGAAGGCTCAAAGCAGGCGCAACAGGCCGGCCCGGGAGAGGCAGAGGGCAGCAGGACAGGAGGCAGTGGCTCGGGGAGTGAGGGTGGGGAGCGACGGGGGGACGGGGGAAAGGAAGGGAGGGAGGGAGGGAGGGAGGAGGGAGGCAGGAGGGGGGCGGGGAGAGAGGACCTGGCTTCTGTCCATTCTCGTGCCCTCTCCCCCCTCCTTCCTCCTCCTCCTCCTCCTCCTCCTCCTCCTCCTTCTCGTCTTGTTCCCTTCTCTTGGTCTTGTTCCCTCCTCCCTGCTGGCCGTCTTGGCGCCGCCGTCGTCCCCCGGGCGGGAGCCATCCAGGCGCGTCTCGCGCCCGTCGCCGGAGCTCGGCTTGCTGCGCTGAGGGCGCGGGCCCGTGGGAGGGGCCCCCTGGTCCGCTCCTGCCGCTTCCCTCGCTCTCCTCCGCTCCCTCCTCCCCTCCCCCCCTTCTTCCCTCCCCCTCCCTCCCGTGTGGGGGGGGGTGATCGCAGCAGGACGGCGGTTCCTGTCGGTGCCCTTGCTGCTCTGCGTGCCGAGTGCGGGAAGAGGGCACCGATGCACCTGCTGCCTCCTTTGGGCGGCGACGTGGAGTTGGGCTCCGCGACACGGGTGATCATGCTGTTTCTGCGCGCCCGCTGGTGGACCAGCATTTGCTGGTACCCACAGCCTTCCCCTCCTGCCTTCCCCCTCCTCCCCCTCTCCCTCGTTCCTGGGCCCCGCTGGTCCGGGTGGGATGGTGTGGCGGGGTGGTTCGAGCTGGGCTGGGCTGGGTGCGAGGGTCGAACCCAGCCGTCCTCGCCGTCGAAGCGCAGCCGCTTGGGCCGGGATGGAAGGCCTCCTATCAGCGCTGCTCGATTCCTTCCCGCACTCCTGGCAGCCGGGCCCATGTGAGCCACGAGGGAACCCACATCGGGAGCGGCGGGACCGAACTCTGGGCAACTCGGCCGTGCCGAGACAAAGATAGTGGCCCCCCCCCTCCCTGGGCGACTCCCTCCCCGCCCGTCCTCCAGAGGCCTCGCAGCCGCGCCCTGCACTGACTCCAGGCGGCTGCAGGGGGTCGGGCGGGGGTGCCTGTCGAGGTGGGTCCTCCTCTTCCTCCTCCTCCTTCCACCTCCTCCTCCTCCTCCTCCTCCTCCTCCTCCTCCTCCTCCTCCTCCTCCTCCTCCTCCTCCTCCTCCTCCTCCTCCCCCTCGGGTCCCTCTCCCAGGCCTTCCCACCCCTCGCGTTCGTCCCTGGGTACTCCAAGTCCCTTATCAGTCGTCCCCCGGGTCCGGTTTTTTAGGCGCCTCTGTTCGTAACTGGGGGCGCCGGTTTATCAGGGCGCTTTCTTTGGATTGGAGCTCGGGGGGCCCGGTCTGTGGAGGCGCCCCGTCGAAGAGGGGGGTATCCGGAAGATCAGGTCGCACTGGGAGGGGGGTCCGGTTTTTTATAGGAGGGGGTCGATGGAGGAGGGCTTTGGAACAGAGAGTCGGGCGCCCGCCTCTGGAGCGGAGGGTGGCGAACCTTCTCGCCGCCGCGCTCCCGGGGGGCCCCCCCCCCCCCCCCCACCTCCCGGGAGGGTGCCGCGGAGGCCGCCGTCGGAGGCCCAGGAGAGGCCCCGCGGCCCCTCCGCTGCCGAGGCCCGCCCGCGGCCCCACTGGACCTGCCCGCCTGGGGGCTTCGTCAGCCGACCAGCCAACCTGTCCTCCTCCCCCTCCTCCTCCTCCTCCCCCCTCCACCTCCTCCTCCTCCTTCCTCCTCCTCCTCCTCCTTCCACCTCCTCCCTCCACCTCCTCCTCCTTCCTCCTCCTCCGCCTCCTCCGTCGTCGTCCTTGTTCCTCGTCCTCGCCCACGCTGCCCGTGAGGCGCCCGCGCCCGCGCCGCGGGCAGCGCTGGTCGCCGGCGACCCCCGCTGCCGCCGCTCCGTGGCTGCCTCCGCTGGGCATGGCCGGGCCAGAGGCCAGTCAGGAGGGGAAAACACACACACACAGACACAATTAATCGTCCACTCCCCAGAAAATATGGGAAAATATGGGAAGTGGGGGGGGAGACAGAAGCCCAGAAAATATGGGAAAATATGGGGAATCGTTTTATTTGTGTGTATTTATTTGTGTGTCCTGGGGCCCCTTTAGCCAGGGGTCGGGGCCTCGTGCCCATCCCAGACATGCCCTCGGGGGTGGACAGAACCCCCAACAGTGACACGTCGATCAGTGGATTGTCCGTTTTCGGTTCTCGAGAGGGCGCCGTGGCCGCTATTTTCCAGGTTTGCGCCCGCCAGGTTTGGGCGTCAGGTCGTGTTCACCAAACCACGTTTTACTAAAGGGGGGTCTGTCCATCCCCGATGCTCGCGTCGTACAAAAGTCAGGGCGGGAGATTTTTTTCCATCGTGTTCGGTCTCTGGGGGCCCTCGCCGAGCCCCGGGGCTGTCAGCAGAAGGACTCGGGACGGAAGGCTGGTCCCGGGGAAGGGGTCGGGAGCTCTGGGGACCGCGTATCGAAAAAATCAGGAGGTTGCATGGTTGGGATTTTTGCCGTGTCCATTTCCAGAGTCCGTCTCGTCGGCGGCAGCGATTGGGGGGACGAATGGTATAGGGGGGATGCATCGACCCCCAAATCGTCCGTGCATCGCCGATACACCCTAGGCGATGCTTAAGAAAACCTAAGTTTTCGTCCAGAGTCTCGATTGTTCTTAACTTTTCAATGTCGATCCCAAGATTTTGATAGAAGTTCTGTTTTTTTCCATGTTCTGAGACTATGAATTTCTTAACCCATGATTTCTAAAACATTTCGCAGGGTGTAGGGGCCCACCGGCCCACCCCTGCCCAGGATCGTGCGGATTCTCACTGCTGGCGGCCCATCGCCGATCCATCTATCGGCGACGCCGCCGCTTCCAGGGCGACGTCTCCCTCGCCGTGCTCGTCTCCCCCAATTGCCGTTGCCCCCTCGGGTCGGGCCCCCAGACGCCGGGCGTCTCGAAAGAGTCGAGGCGGAAGTCTCTCACGGCTCTCGGCCTCCCCCCAGACGTCGGGCGTCTCGAGGGAGTCGAGGCGGGCGTCTCTCACGGCTCGCGGGCTCCAGGGGCCCCTGGCCAGGCCTCGGGGCCGTCGGGAGACGGCTCGACACGAAGAGCGGGGTTCCAAGGGGGTCGGGGGGGATCAGCTCGGGGCTCCGCGCGGACGGGGCTCAGCGCTGGCGGGGGTCAGGCAGCGGCGGCCGGGGGTCTCAGCGCCAGCGGGGCGCAGCGCCGACGGCGCTCAGCGCTGGGGGCACGGCCGGGCCGGAGGCCGGAGGCCGGTCGGCCACGCGCCGAGGGGGGGCAGAGGGGGAGGGGGGAAGGCTTCTGAGAAGCAGCCCAGCTTCTAAGAAGCCGCCGCCCCTCCCGGAGCCCCTCCCCCCTGCCCCCTTGCGCGCGCCGCCGAGTCGGGGGGGGGGCAGCTCGGGGCTCAGCGCTGAGGGGGCTCAGCTCAGCGCCAACGGGGCTCAGCGCCAACGGGGCTCAGCGCCAGCGGGTCTCACGCAGCGGGGCTCGGGGGGCACATCGGCTCAGAGGGGGATGTTCGGACGTTTCCGTCGGTGCCTGGAGGTTTTCCGGCCCCAGGACGGGGCTCAGCGCTAAGGGGGCTCAGCCAGAGCGCAGGATCCTGCAGGGTCCTGTAAGGCTGGAGTTTGGCTGAGTCGGGTTTTGGAGCTGGTCGCAGTCCCAGAGGTGGCATGATCTATTGGCTGAGCCTGGCTTGTCGGCGGCAAAATCCGAACCTTACCCTCGCCGATCAGTGCTTCGGGCAACTCGATGGACGGCGGGGGTAGGATTCGGAGTTCGTCGAACGCGTGGCGAAATCCGAACCTCACCCCCACCTCCCGTCGATCCTCAAGAGAACCGACGCTCGGTGGGGGCAGGGTTTTGATGTCGCCACGGAGTTCGGCAAGCCCCCCCAGACACAAAAAAGTGCCGCGAAGTTTTTCCCGAAGGGGCCGAGCTGGATTTGCGCCGAGCCGGGTTCAGGCGTAAATCGGGCCTGTCCCTCTACAGGGGGAATCTTCAAGAATAGTTAAAACATGGTCCGGGGACCATTTTCGGAGTATTTTGGGGCATTTTGTGAGTATTTTTTTTGGCCATTTCTCATTTTTCGTCGAACATCCCCCTGATCGGAGGTGGATAGACCTCCTACCCTGACACGTCGATTAAGGAATTGGCCGTTTTCGGTTCGCGAGAGGGCGTCGCGGCCGTAATTTTTGCGGGTCCAGGTCCGTCGGTTTCGGTCCCAGGCCGTTTTTTCACTAAGGGGAGGTTTACTAAAGGGAGGCTTATCCAGCGCCCCTCTGTAGGGGGACACGCCCGACGTTAAGGTTCAGGCCGTGCGCGGGCAGCGTCCGGGGGCGGTCGGCCCAGGCGGGGGTCTCCAGACGCTCTCGTCGGTCCCCGAAGGCCCTCCCGCCCCCGGGGACGCGCCTCGGCAGCTGCGCCTACGCCGAGGGCGTGTCCGGGGAGGAGGAGGAGGAGGAGGAGGAGGAGGAGGAGGAGGTGGAGGAGGAGGAGGAGGAAGGAGGAGGAGGAGGAGGAGGAGGTGGAAGGAGGAGGAGGAGGAGGAGGGAGGAGGAGGAGGAGGAGGAGGAGCACCAGTGTAAACCAAGAGTCATCAACGATTGCGGAATAAACCCTCCCTCCAAGCTGTCTCTTCACAGGCCCCTACAACAGTTCACTTCCACTGGGGAAACTGCCTCGTTGGAAGACAACCGTTTGAAGATCCTGAAGCATGCCAAAACATTGGTCTCGGGATTCCAACGCCACGGATCAACCTGACTGTTGCGTGTTGACGATTCTGAATCTTGCCAGAACGCCATCCCTGGGACTTCAACACAGCGAACCAACGTAACTATTGCGCCCGCATAATCCTGAATCCTTTCAAAACACGACTTCTGGTACGTTGATGATGATGGGAATCCGTGGAACTCTTGCATTTTTTTCAAGCGGACGTGCGCCACGCGAAGGCGAGAGCCGCGTTTTGAAAAGAAACCGCCTTGCAAATGCTTAAAACGAATGTGCACCGCGCTATGGCGAGAGCCACACTTTGAAAACGACCCGCCCTCAATCCGTGAAGCTCTTGCGCATTTTTCAAACGGATGTGCGCCGCGCGAAGGCGAGAGCCATATTTTGAACCCCCCCCGCCCTCAATTCGGGAAGCTCTTGCAATATTGTAACGGATGTGCGCCGCGCGAAGGCGAGAGCCACATTTTGAAGATGACCCGCCCTCAATCCGTGAAGCTCTTGCAATTTTGTAAAACGGATGTGCGCCGCGCGCAGGCGAGAACCACATTTCGAACCCCACCCGCCCTCAATCCGTGAAGCTCTTGCAACTTTTCAAACGGATGTGCGCCGCGCTTGGGCGAGAGCCATATTTTGACCGTCCTCCAACTGTGAAGATGTTGTCAAATTTTGAGCGTCAGAGTCATAAATGGTGAGGGTGTCTCAGTCGAAACGCCCGGCCCGCGCTAAAAAACTGGCCTCTGGATGCGGCAGGGAGAAGTCACTTATAAGGAAAAGGAACGGAGAAGGAGGAGGAGGAGGAGGAGGAGGAGAAGGAGGAGGGAGGAGTGGAGTGAAGTGGAGTGGAGTGGACCCCGTTGCGATGCTAGTTCAGTTTTACTTAGCCTGACCTGGAAGGAACACTCGAGCGAGCTGATTGCTCGGCCGATTGCTCGGCTCGGCTTAGGACCTTGGGCTGTAACTTACCCCCGACGGATCCTGTCAAGATACTCCCCTCCGTGCTTGGACATTCTAAGTTTGCAAGGCGCCTTTCAAGAGCGAATCGCCTTATCAGCGATGGCGCCGCACACAGTGCAAAACCAAACCTGAAGGGACGAGTGTACATTCAAGGTGTGTGTAGTGTGTGCCTAGCCCCCCGCTATATGCACCCTCGCCCCCTTACAGGGGGAGAATATGACCCCGCCAACACTATATAAAGGATTACATTCAGACGCCCCAAACTCTTTTACAGTGTCAGCACTCGCTGAACCGAAACAAGGAAGGCATTTCCTCTGGCAGTCTGCCAGACCGTGTCGGGACTGGAGGGCCGCAACGACAGCAGCAGAAGGGGGAGGCGGAGGAGGGGGAGGGGGAGGGGCCTCACCGGACTTTCGCTTCACCTCACGCTCAGCTTCCTGGGCAGCCTGCATGCTGTCCATGGCAGCTCTCAACAATCTCATGCTGACCAGGAACGCACGTCTTTCATGAGTCACGATGCGGGCTCTGATGCTCTCGGGGAGGCGGGCATTCTCGGCGGCGAACCCTGCAAACTCATCAACCAGCATGTTGCCAACAACAAGTGTGCGCAATCTTTTCCCACTTACAATCCCTTCGGCACCCATATGCGAGGTGGTCCACAAGACCAGGATGTCACACCGTGAGCGTTCTTTCATCACATCTGCAATCTTTTGCCACAAATCTGCATCTGGTCCTACTGGGTTCTCAAATCTTTTTCATATCATCCCATCGCCACCGCTTCACAATCCGTGGTGTACGTGAGGTATCGTGAAGGTGTCCATATCGCAAGATAAAAGGGCCATGAGGCCTCCTCTTGGCACCTCATGTCGGTCGCCCTGCAGCCGGCCGTATATAGCATCTGTGAGCTGTAGCGTGGGGTAGATGGACTCAGTACATACAACAGCCACACCCACTCGCCTCAACCTCGACACTGCAGAATCGGCCCCTCCGCTGGCGTCGCCGAAGATCTGGACAGGGGTCTGGAGGGAGCCGCTGCCGAAGATGCCTTTGGACACTTCGTTGACTCCTGCGACCTCCCAGTGTGCCTCCTGCGGCGGCCTCGGACTTCCAGCCAGCGCCATGAGGGCCACGTAGCCAGAACCACTCCGCCGTGTTGACCTGGGTCAGCGCCTGCGCCACCAGCTCCTCCGAAGCCGCATATGGCGGGACCCCCACATTCTTTGCACAACTCCATGCTC